TATTCCTTATGATCTGGCATTACGAGCAAGCAGAGAGGTGGCCAGGTTGGCCGACGACGCCAAATAAGCTAGGGCAGGGCTCCCAGGGCAGAACCCTGTGGCACCGCACTTGTCGCCCCTCCCCAGTTTGAGAAGGTACCACTGATGAGCACTCTCTGAGTCGAGTTTTGCAGCCAATTGCAGATCCACCTGAGGGCTGCATGATCTAGCCCAGTTTTGCTAATTTGGTAATCAGGAAGTTGTGGGGCACTTTGTTGAAGGCTTTGCTAAAGTCTAACTAGAGCCATAGAATCCACAGCATTCCCACAGTCTACCAAAGAGCCTGGTCTAGTGAGGCATGCTAAAAGCTGCGGAGTTTGGACTAAGAGGGCTTTCAACAGCACTTTCTCAAATTGGAGAGAGGAAACAAGCAGGTATCGCTGGGCCCAGTGCTCGTCAGCATTTTCATCCGTGGCATGGATGAGGAGGTGCAGGGAATGCCAGTCAAATTTGCAGATGACACAAAATTGGGCAGGATAGCTAGAAGATATAAACAGAATTCAAAGTTATCTTCATAGGTTGACATATTGCTGTAAACATGCTGTAAACACCAAAAATAAATTTAATAGGAACGAACGCCAATCCCACACCTGGGAAAAGGAAGCCAAATGCAGTTTCAGGATGGGAAACTTGAAACTGTGCTTTTTTGGCTCAACGAGAGTACAAGCAAGGAGGATCCCAGAACTGTAAATCGCAAGCTGAGTTGACTCAAACGATGTGATGTGGCTGCAAAAAGGGCAAAAGCTGTTTTGGGCTGCGTCAGCAGAAGTCTTGCCCCCCATTCATGCTAAGTACTGGTCCCCGCTACTCACCCCTGGGTAGGCCTCTTCTTGGGCCCCCAAGAAGCCCAGAAACAGTGCCGTGTATGGGAACACAGAAAAGATCGTTGTTGATGTTATTTGCATGGGCTCCAAAATTGCCAGGGCACAGACAGAAGTGTTGTCGTCGTCGTCGTCCCCTGCCCCCCCCCCCCCCCCGGGCCATCAGACGCAGCTGGCTGGGTGCTCCCTGATAAGGAACAGAAAGCTAGGGCAGAGGAGAAAGGAGCTGTGGGGGCAAGCAGGAGCCTTCCGCGTACCCCTTGCGGAGGAGGGCCTGGTGGCCCAGCAGCCTTGCAAGGCACTCAGTTTGTTTGACAACTAAGAAACAGAGACATCAATATTCCATAAGCCGAAGACTGCAGAGCATTAAAAAATGATGAGGCAACACTCTGAAGTGCCCCCACCCTGCTCTCTGCCTGCACAGGGGAAGAAGTATTTAAGATCGAGTGTCAGCCGCCCCTGACAGCTGCATTTGTCACGGAGCTGATTAGTTGTTTTGAGAAATATTCAGTATGTTCTGCATCATTCCATCACCAGCAGGAGCAGCTCGGATTGTTCCTGGAAGGGAAAACAGGAGGGGAAGGGGTGCTCCCTCTCCATGGCCCAGCAAGGAGAGGCTTTTGCGAACCGAACCAAACCGAACCAGCGTGCAAGTTCTGCGGGGTCCCTCCCTCCTCCAGGCGAGGCCACAGGAGGCAGGATGGAGGCTGGCCCCAGTCTCTGCCCCACCACCCCATGGAAGGAAGCCAGCCCCAGAATAGCACCGTCCCCATTGCCTCCCTCTCAAGCAGGAGATCCTGCCGAGTGTGAAGGCCGCTGGGGAGAGGAGCCTGGGCAGCCAAGCACTGCCTGAAGCATCACGTGGCACGCACGATGCACCCTCGCACGGGGTCCAGGTGTGTGGCGCAGGGCTGCTTCATCTGGCTGGCCATGGATGCCCAACACTTTCAGCAGGTGGTGCACCTTCCCAGGAGAGGCAGAATCCGGCCCTCCCACATGCGCAGCGTTAAGACAAGACAATCCGGCTGCTGAAAGACTGGCATGGCAAGAGCGGCTCTGGGCTTACGGTGGGATGCTGATCAGATTTGGAAACCAGGCTGCAAGTCTTGTCCCCCGGGGACACCTGAGAGACACTGCCCTGAAAGCTCCTCCTTTGATACACTTTAGATATGCAAATATTTGCCTGTCCTGAAAATTCCTCCTTCAGGGTTTTGGTCTCAGTCTCCTGGACCTCTTGTTTCACCCTCCCGTGGCTCCAGCAACCTGCCCACAGGATCCCCCTGCCCGCACTGTCCATGTCATTGGCGGGCCACAGAAGAGTCCTGTACGGGCTCCACCTTGGCAGTCCCTCTGGGAGCTGCCTGGGTGCCGCACGCCCTTCCTGTGTGTCTGAGTAAAGTGTGAGTGTTCCGCACACCCCGGCTGACTCCCTGGCTTTTTTGCCGAGTTGCATCCAGCACACGGAGTGGAGTATTGGCTGCATGATGCCGGCGTGTCAGAAAGAGGCCACTCCCCTGCATCGCATTCAGCTGCCTTCCCAGCACAACTGTGAGAGAGCTCAGCCCTCCACTCCTGAACGAACACCGAACACCGGAGCCTAGAATGGAAAGCCAGTCCTCTGGGTAGGCAAGGAGGCACCTGCTGGCTCCCCTTGCTTACCTCCCTTCCGTTCTCGAAGCTAAAATCCTGCAGGCCACCCCAGAGACTGCAGTAGAAAGGCAAACAAGAGAATGGTGCTGGCCATGCTGATTCGGAGAACTGGCCCGGCTGCTCCTGGGATCCGTCTCGCACAAGGTGATCAGCATCGCTTGGCAATTGCGGTGTGCTGTTTCTCCTCTCCACAGGCCTAGGTCTGCTACATGCAGGCACACACGCCGCTGGCTCAGAGAAGGCCCCAGCGCCGAGCCAAGGATGCAATCGGAGTAGAAACAGATCAAGGCCCTGGGCTGTTCACACCATACCCCTTTTGTTCTACTAGTCCAATAAGCAGCCATCCCTTCCCACCAAAATCAGGGAAGAAACCAAACTTTGCCCCCGAATAAACAGTCAAATTATGATGGACTCTGATTTGACATAGCCCAAAGCTAGATTCATAAAGCGAGAATCCCACCTCCTATAAATAGATGATGGACTTGTGCACTTAAACATGACAGCCATCCCAGCAATGCCCATGCGATGCATGACCCAACTATGGGCTTGGAAAGGAAATCAAAGCAGGAGGGGCTTGCCCCCGTTCCGGAGCAGCAGCCAATGCGGGGCCAGTGAGAAAGCATCAAGCTTTATCCTGATGCAGCCCAGAGAAGGGACTTTGTAAGTGAACCTTCACTGTTAACCTACCAATAGGGGTGGCACGAAGTGAGAAAGGCAGGTTGCTCACCTGAGGTGGCCAGTCTTCTCTGGGGTCACCTGTGCATTCTCGCACAGAGGCTTTGCACCTGTGTAGAGCAAGCTGTGGGGAAGCTTTTATAGTTCAGCATTCCCCTGGGCAGGAGCTCCCTCTCTCTGTGCTAGGAGAGCGATGGGCTATGCTGCCAGCCACCCCCTCAGGTCTGCGGAGAGCACGAGGAATTCCCGGAGGGAGGGAGGGAGGGAGGGAGGGGAGGTCACTGACCCAGTCCAGCCCCTGCAAGCAAGGGAGTGCTTGTTGGAAGGAGGACTCCCAGTGGCGCTGGGGGGGGGGGTTGGCTGAACATGCAGGCGACCACTCAGCCCGCCTTCTGCTGGCACCAGCGAATGGCTCTGCTGCGTCCCAAGTCAGGCACGAGAGCCTGGCAAACAGCCTGCATGGGATGGCCCTGAAGACTGTCCGAAGCTGCCACCAAACGCAGTAACCAGAGGAGCAGCTGGGGGCCCGCAGGCACACAGGCTCCACGCCAGTCCCGGCCAGCTTGCGGGCGCTGCCTACAGGTTTCCGCGAGCAAGTCAAGGTGCCAGTTCTAGCCAATCGGGCGCCACGTGACTGAGGCTGCGGTGCATGGCCAACCCCCCACCCACGCACGCGCCGCGCCCCAGCCTGCTCCACGTGCACCGGGGACCGAGCAGGCAGAGCCCACCGACTCTGGCCCAGGGCAGTTAGCGGTTTGCTCTGGTTGGCTGCAGTCCCTTTTGGCTGGTTTCCATCATTTTGGTCTACCTCATGAGAGCTTTTGGGTACAATCTCTTAGTCCAGGTTCTGTTTCTCTGGACAATCAGCACAGCTGCTACTACACCTTGGTGCCCGTGAAGCAAAAGGAGAGTAACTGCTGTACGAGATCATGCACCTGGTTTGACTGGTCAGTAGGTCAGGAGGACCCTCTGGGAGATTGTATTTGCAAGATCTAAGCACCCAGATTCTTCGAGCGCATGATTGAGCACTCTCCCTTCAGCATGACCTGCGCACGGTTTCAGGAGAACCCCACTCCAAAACCGGGTGCACTGATGTGGAGACAGCGGCAGCAACAGCTCAGCGCACAGCCTGGCATGTAATTCAGCCTAGAGGGCTCGGTGGGGGGCATCCTCCTTCCTGGACACTCTCTGCATGCGTCGTTGCTGCCACGGCTGGGACGATCCACTTCCGGCAGAGGCAGGGACATTTGGGACGGATGAGGCCCACCCTCAACCGGCGTGCTGGACCATTCCTCTGCCACTGTCCGCTTGCAAGCCGGCATTCTGCGGGCATCGCTGTCAGCATTGGCTGCTGATGCAGCACCCTTCTGTCCAGGCACAAGACTGTGGGGCATGCTGGAGCGGCACCCAAGCCCATGCATCCTGGAGCAGAGTGCGACCTCTGCCTTCTCTGCACCTCAGGGCCACGCGGGGCGGGAGAGCAGGACCCACTGCGCTCCATGGCCTCTGCTCTCTCAGAGGGGTGGGATTCCCAGGAACGGGAAAGGCGCTTGCTGGCAGTTTGGTGGCACGGATGCGAATCGGACGGAGAGTTACAGCAGACTGGTCCAGAGGCTGGACGCCCGCCAAAGCTCCCAGCGGTCCCTCCCAGAGCTCAGAGGGCCCTGCAGGGGACTAGCTGCAAGCCCAGAGCAGCCAGACAGACCCCGCGCTCTCCCCTGAAGGGAGCGACGGCCCTCGGGGCAGTGCGGAGGGCGGGGTGGGAGAGAACCTTGGCGACCAGGAGGAGACTCACACTTGCATGCACACACGTGGCCTTGTAATAAATGTATTGTACTTTATTACATTTTCCACTTTTAATCATCCAAGGCCTTGTATCCAAACTCTTCTTTCTGAAAGGAAATGGTTTTTAAAACATAAAAATATAAATTCTGCATATTAAAAGTGCATACAAATAAATAAAAGGCTTCGACACAGTCTCATGCACTTGCCATTAAATAAGTTAAAATCCTCCATGGTGCAAGGGTTCCACCCCAAGAGGAGACGCAGCCCCCACCCAGAGTATTCTGTAGTTTAAAAAAAACAGCAACATTCTGAGAGCAAGATCAAAGGTAGCCGGGAGGGAGGGAGGAAGCATCTGACGAGACGAACGTGCAGCTCCTCCTCGTGCGGAAGAGCGACTCGGGTCTGCGGCTCACCGATTTCGGGGCAGGGCTGAATATTCAGTTTTAACCAAAGGTGAGGCACGACTGGTGAGCAGTGCGAAAGGCATGCTCTGGGCACGGCTGGCCCTGGGGACAGATGTGGCAGCTTCAGTGGAAGGCTCCAAGAGAGCAGGACACCCGGGATCCCAGGGTGCTTGGAGAAGTTCAGCACCCAGCGTGGGGCCTTGGCTGGTTGGGGCTGCAAAGCAGCTGGACGTGCAGGCGCGCGCACACGCACGGCACGCACGCACACGGAAAGGAGTGATGGGATTGCCAGTTTGCCCTTGCTTCTGTCAAATGCAACTGCCACTGCTAATGGGGTTTTCCGGTAGGAAAAACTCTCTCATGCTTTCATCTCACCACCGATTAAAACCAAATTTCAGTTCCCTCTGCAGATAAGGCTGGCTAATGTAGCAGGCAGAATCAAAGAGAGGCTTGCCACTAACATGATTTGGACCGGCTTTTCCAAAACACGGACAACCGACACGAGGCGCTTCCACGGCGGCCAGCAAGGCACAGCACAGGCCCGAGAAAATGCGCCCGTGCAAGAGCTGCCTGGGAGCCAGCCGAGAGGCCGCTCCTCTCCTGGGTGGGCGCGCTTGGCCCCCGACTCCCAGAAGACGCCACCCTCCCTCCTCTGCTCCCAGTTCTCCCGGGCTTCAGCTGGGCAGGCAGGAGAGCACCGCCTCCCTCGGCTGGAAAGCAAGCACAAGGAGGCGCTGCAGGACCTGCTGCCGCTCCAGGCCGCCAGATGCCGGCCAGCTTCCACACGCGGTGGGACCAATCATGTTGCGGGAAACGGAAGCACTGCGAAACACAAAACGCACAGAAAAGAGACTCACAGCCTGCCCTCTTCCACGTACGTCACAGTCGTTTCTATACCCCCAGAAGTAAACCAAGAACTGCGCGAAGGAAAGACGTGTGCGCGCACACGCAGGCCCTCGGCTGCTGAAGGGACAGCGGACAGACTGCCCGCCCCGTTTCCATTCACATCAGATGCGGGCGACAAGGTAGCCTGTTGTAGCTTGTAAGAGCTGCTTGCATAGTTACCAGGAACATGCATGAGGACGGGAGCGAGGGGTCAGCGCCAGGCAAGTCACCTTCCGTGTGGGTGGGGGCAGCGGGGGAACGGCTGGCCATGCTCAACGTTTCTGCCGCAACTGAAAAGCACGGAACTGAATGCGCATCTAAACCCAATGTGCCTGGGCTATGGAAATTCGGGATCAAGCGTTCAGTTCGTTTCAATCACATGGATCCGTATCTTGAATGTCTGAGAGAGAAAGCCGAAGCAAGGTGCTTGCCGTGGTTACGAAGGGCTGTTGCAGAACCCATCCCACCTGTCCAGAGCCAGTAAGACAAGGTGTCAGGGCCTCTATGGTACAAGGCTGTGCTTACAATATGCTTGCTAATTAACCCTACCCCAAAGACAGCCTGAAGAAATGTGGCTTAACTCTCCTGCAGCTGGAAGGATGCCTGGTCTAACACTCTCTGTTTCTATGGTCACCATCCCTGGAATGGAGAGACTGAGTTAGAGAGGGCAGGCGCCCTTCCCCCACTTCCTTCCCAGGAAATTGGCCGAGCTGAGCTGCCCCCCAGCAGCAATCTGCGGGCAGCTGCCCTGGTGTCAAACACTCCTTTTTTATCTCACGCCCCCCTGCCAGGGGAGACGCGTGTCCCACCCTCTTTTTAAAGATTCCACACCGAGGATTCGAAATCTGCTCAATGCGGTGGGGGGGGGGCTTTTCCTCCTTGGTGGAACGAGGTCTGTGGGCTGCGTGAAAGCCGGAGACACGCGCTTGCATGGCATGACCAGCCAAGGGGCCCGAGCGAGGCCGCCCGGCAACTCTGGCAGGCCCACCCACTCAGTCTCTGCTCACGAGCTGCACACGGAGCGCAGCAGCTCTGCCCGCCCTGCCCAAGCCCTGCGGGGGGCACCCAGGCCCAGTGGGCATTTCATGCTCTACTGTAGTGGACACGCTGAGATCACACCACTCAGCAGAAACACCTCTCTCAGCTTCCAGAAAACGGGCTGTTCCTCCCCTGGGCAGAGCGCCTTTGGTCCTCACCGTTTCAAGAGCTGCATGTGGGGTGGGCACATGAAAACGCCTCGTTTTTGTTGCAGGAAAAGCAATGTTCTTCTACAGCAGGCAGCCTGCGAGCAGCACAGAGGGGCTGGCGGCACCTTCCACGCCATGCAGGGATCAGCAGAGGAAAATGCATCCCTGCTTCACGGGCTTGGAGGAGCACACATGGGTACCTTGGCCGCAGGGGCTGCGTGGCTGCGTGGCTCCAGCTGAGCCAGCAGGTGCTGGTCGCGGGCTCAGGGCGGTGTGCCGAGAGGCCGCAGGCCACGCGGGAGGCTGAGCCACCACTGCCAAACATGCTAAAGCGGGGACACTGAGAGAAATGTGGTCCTCCTGCATCCGCCTGGGAACATGGCCTAGGGAAGGAGCGCGCTTGCTGCTCAGAGTTGGAACGACAAAGCAGCTGCTTGCCGGAGATGCCGGGACACACCCCCGTTCCGGTGGCAGCAAGGCAAAGGAGAAGGGGGGCCGCGGAGGCAGCAGGCCCGCAAGGCAACGAGCAGGGGCTGCTGTAAGGCCCAACTGCTCAGGGGACTCCGGGGCAGCAGAAATGGCGAGGGGCGCAGCGGGGCAGGAGAGCCATCGCGGGGCTCAACCGGAGCCGTGGCAGAGGCAGCCGAGCGGCCAGGAACACTGCAAGGGGGTGAGGATGAGGAGAGCGAAGGCCCCACGCAACAGAGCAGAACCAAGCAAGCCCCCCCCCCCCAAGGTCAGAGGCTCGCTCCCCCAGCAAGGAACCTGGCAACAGGGGTGCGGCCCGCAGCGGAGAGTGGGGCGTGTGCACTTGCGTGGCAGGCAGGCATCCTTCTCCCACGCGGAGCGGAAAATGCCCCGGCTGCCCACCCGCCCTTTCCCGGGCAGAATGACACCCTCCAGTTCTCCAGACTCGTCAGCTGCTGACCGCCCCCCTGCTCTTGGCCAGGGACCCCAAAGGGCAGGGAAAATATGGCATGAACACGCAACCAGGCGGGACAGGCATTCAAAGCACACAAACAAGCAGTCCGCTGGAACGGAGGAGCGACACGCACATGGCCCCTGCGAGCACGGGCGGCCCTTCCCAGAGCCCTCGGTTTCCTCCACACCGGCCGAGCATTTACCTGAGAGACAACAACACTAATGTTGCGATATTGCCCTTTAAGAAGCCTGGGATGGGGCGGGGGGCGGGGGACCTCTCTGCAGCTCTTCTGCAGCTCATGGAGCCGGGCTGCTCGAGGCAGAGGGAAGGCGAGCAGGGGCATGGATGCAGCACGCCAGCACACCAGCCTTCCGGGGTCGTTCCCTCCAGGAGCAGCGGCCCCACCCCAACGAGGCTCCCGCACGGCTGCGACTCTGCTGGGGAGCGGCAGCGGGCGAGCAGGCAGGCCCTCTGGCGGCCCCCAGCCCACCCAGCGGCCTGCCGCCACTGCCGCAGCCTGCCGGTACTCGGTTGACGGCAGAGTTCAGGCGCCCGAAGGGCAGCGGCGTTCCTCAAGCGCGCCAGGCACATGGCCCAGAAGCGGGGCGGGGGCGCGGCTTGGCCGGCTGCAGCGGCTCACTGGGATTTGGAGGCGGCGCGTGCGGAGGAGGGTGTGCCAGGGGGGAGCTGGCGCGGGGCCTTGCCGGCCCCCGGCCTGCCGCTGCCAGCCGCCTGGGGACTGGCTTCCGGCTGGGAAGACTGGGACTTGCGGTGCGCAAGCAGAGAGTGCTTCGCGGGAGAGGCGGCCTCCTTCGCGGCAGGGCCGGTGCCCGGGGGCAGCTGCGTGCCACTCCTGCCCCCCTTCTCCGGGGACGTGCTTTTGCCGGCTGCCTTGCAGGAGCTGCCCCCCATCTTCTTGGACAGCAGGGTGGTCTTGCCCAGGTCGGCCGACCGCCGTGTCTCCTTCTGGCGCAGGGCGGACTTGAAGAAAGAGAGCCCTTTGTCGTCAGACTTGCTGTCCCGCTTCAGGCTGGAGCGGGGGCCCGTGGGGGGCGACCGGAGGCTGGCCATGGAGGAGCTGCGCACGTGCGAGCCCTCCGGCGCCCTGCCCTCCCCCCGCGACTGGCTCAGCCGCGGGGAGCTTGTCCGCGAGCCAGAGCCAGAGCCAGGGCCCGCCTTGTCAGAGCCCAGGCTCAGCTTGGAGCCCTCCCTGCTGAGGCCGCGGTCGGCTGTTCTCATCTTGCCGGCCGCAGGAACTTGCCCCCGTGCGGTGGACCCCAAGGAGTCTCTTCTTGCTGCAGTGGACGAAGCGGCGGCGGAGACGGGCCGCTGCTTCTGCTGGGCAGGGAGGGCGCCAGCCGCGTCCAGTGCCTTCAGGCCGGCCCCTTTCCGGGGCTGCCCGGAGGCGGGGGAGCCATGCCGCCTGCCTGGCCGGCCGGAATCCTGCTTGTTCTGGGTTCGGGACCCCTTTGGCAAGCTCTTAGGAGGAGGGGGCGAGGACGCAGAAGGGTGGGATGTCGGTGAATCCTGGCTAGACAGGAGGGCCCTCCCCTTCCTCTGGCTTCTGTCCGTCTGGGTGGTGTCCTCGGGGGGGAGGGCCTTCTGTGGGGAGCTGCCCCCCTTTGCTGGGGGCACCACTGCCCCACCAAAGCTGCCCCCTTCCTTGACAGGGGAGCTCTCCACCGAGTCGCTCTGATCGACGAAAGCAATGAGATTGTTGTTGTCAAACGGGTCCAAAGCGGGGCCCTTCCTGCCGGCCGGCCCGCTGGTTTGGGCACAGGAGTCTGCGCATGAGCTGGATTTCTGCTCCAGCATCTCATCCCTGAAGGCTCCCTCCATGGTGGCCAGCGGAGCCCTGCCCGTGGCCAGGGGCTCCTGGTGGCGGTGGCGGCTGACCCCGGGTTCCAGGGTGCTCCCAGGAGGCCCATTCAAGCCACCAAAGCAGGAGGCGGAGCCCTTGCCAGTGGTTGGCCCCCCAACCCGCTCCAACGCCACGGCTGAGCCGAAAGGTGGCGTGTCCCCAGAAAAGCGAGACGGCGAGCCCGAGCGGATCTGCAGCTTGGCCGACAGCGACCACGAGGGGCGCATCCCATTCTCGCCCACGGCCAATGGGCTGGTCACCGGGGATCGCGAGGACAGGCTCTGCCGCTGGACGCTCCTCACGAAGGGCCGGGTGGAAAAACCTCCTGCAGAGCAGAAACACGGGGTGCTTGGGCGCATGCTTGCCCAACGCGCGCAGCGGGCACAGCTGGCGCACGCCCCCCCCGCCCCCCACGGTGAGCCAACCCGGCCCCCCTAAGAGCAGCAGGTGCCGCGCTGGAGTCCCCCCGTTGCTCCCCGCCAGCCTTCTGCGCCGTGCTGGCCAGCCAGAGCCCTTAAGAAGCCCACGGGGCAGACTCGCCTCGGCGCCCCCGTTTCGCCCTGTGCACCCGGTCGTGCACCTGCTGCCACGCCACCCTTCACCTGCCTTACCCCAGACAGAGCGGTCCCGGCCACGGGCCCACTCCCATCAGGGCGTGGCTCTGCCCCCGAAGCTTTTCTGCCGTTCTTTCCTGCCCTCTGCCCACCTCCACCCCTCCATCGCAGTCACCCAGTGCTGGCCGGAAGGAGCACCAGAGGGGCGACCCCAGCCCCACCTCGCCCCACTGCCGGACAGGACCCACGGGCCCAGTCCTTCTGACGTGCCACCAGAGATGCTCCCCACCAGCGAGACCCAGAGCCAGCAGCTGGGAGCAGCTGGGCCCTCACAAACTCCTGCTGACCACCGCCCCACGCCCAGACACAACGGGGACTGAAGGGGCGGGCCAGAGTGCCTGAGCCCAGGGGACGCTCCCAACAGAAGCAGCAGATTCCCCTGCAGGTTCAGTGGGACTCCTCATGAGAAGACTTTTCAGAAGCTGCACCTGGAACAGTTCCGACAGATGGCCTCTGCTTCCAAGCAAAATAAATAAGAATTGCTGGAAACGAGGCCAGCGGACCTTCTTGCAGGCACCTCGCCTCATCTCGCCCCCCCCCCCCCCCCGGTGAGGAGTTCCCCTGGCCCGAGCTCTGCCTGTCCTCCTGCCTGCCCCTTGCCTGCCGCACTGCCCAGGGCCCAGCTGTTGTCCCCCAGCCAGGGGAACCGTGCCTTCCCGCCAGACCCAGCTGCTGGGCAGTGGAATGCCTTGGCCCTGGAGGCTTGGATTCGGACACACTCCTCTGCCGCCACTCCCAAACTGTGGAATGCATTCCGACTGGAATGGCAATCAATCCCCTCTATTTCTGCTTCCAGGAAAGCTGCCAAGGCAAATCTTTTTCATTTAGCCTTTCAAAGTGCCCGTTAGTGATTTTAGTTTTTAGGTACAGCTGTCTGTTTCCTTTTGAATGTTGCACTCTGCAGGAGCCTCTGGCAGAATGGCAACATAAAATATGAAAAATATTGGGGGAAAAACAAAAGTGAATTCTCTCCATTCCACTTCCTTGGGTGGCTCCCTTGAATTCCACATTACGAAAATGGGAGAAAGTCTCACCCACCTTTTCCTCACCCTGTATAATTTTATGCATCTCTGTCATATTCCCCTTTGCTACAAACAAGGCTTTTTATAGGCAAGAAATCAGAAAATGCCCAAGCAGCAACTCCTAGTTGACAGCAACAGCCCAAACACGCATGCTTAAAGGGGTGCCTGCCCCAAACATGCTCCATGCTCCAAGGCCCTCGGAAAAGCGACGAGGCGCTCCTTGGCAGACACAGGAGAGCTGCCTGCGCAGAAGGCAAGCAATTCCCCACTGGCCTCCCAGTCTCCCGAAAAACCATGCCCAGTCCAGCAGGGAGGGCCTACCTCTGTTGGGGGACTTTAGAGGCGGCAAAGGCCAAGACAGAGAATGAGCCATCCCTGGAGCTGGGGACGCCTCTCCGGCCGGCTCCTGCCCGCCCCGAGACGTGTCCGCCCTGAGCCACGCAGCAGGAAAGGGTGGCCTGAAAGAGCCCTCCTTCCCACCCCAGGGGAAGAAGCAGGAAACGGGGGGCCGAGCCATTTCCCCCAGGGCTCACAGAGGAGGAGTGGGAGCATCCAGCACCTCTGCTCAGGTAAGAGAGGGCCCCGCCCCGGCCGCTCATCCCGAATGCAGCAGATTCACAGAGAGCAGACCAAGGGCACCCCGGCACCCCACGCACCGTCATCCTCGCTCCTTTCGCCCATCAGCTCCACCGATTCTGAGAGAGAAGCCAGTGACGTGCGCCTGGAGGAGGCCGCAGAGGCGATGCTGGGCTGCCTGCTGCCCGGCAGCCGACTCACCCAGTGCTCCCCGAGGGAGGAGCTCGTGGAACCTGCAGGAGAAGGAGCTGTGGTCAGGCAGGTGGGGCAGGCACACTCCGGGCCACGGACCGGGCGGCGTAGGCACCGGAGCCCAAAAGCGCCATACTGGGTCAGGCCAAGCGTCCGCCTGGTCCTCCTCTCCATTCACACGGCGACGACCAGCCACCCACAGAAGACCCACAAGGGAGGCGTGGGTAGAAGGGCCTGCCTGCCCACCCTTACTCACCTTTTCTGAGCTAAACAAGCCCAGGTACTGCAGCCTTTCCTCCTAAAGGCCCCTTCATGTTTCAGCCGCCCCTGCCAGCCCCTTCCCCCTTCTCCAACCTACTCTCTGTGTGCACTGATGTTGGGCACGTGGCCCCGCTGCAGATTTGCACAAGGGATGCGGGACCTTGGCAGTTCTATTTTCCACTCCGTCCCTGATTATACCTAACGTGGTGCTTGCTTTTTTCATGGCAGCCACACATCAGGCTGGCACTGTGAGCTGCCCATGCCAAGCCCCCGACCTTGCGCTTCATGGTCCCCAGGGGCTCTGATCCCCCCAGCTGACACCTGAAGGCCTTTTGCCTTTTGCCCCACTTCGCACAGCTCCTGCTGAACCACGTTTGTCCTAACAACTCAGCTTAGCTTCAGCAAAGCTTTTGACAAAGTGCCCCACCTCATCCAGGTTAGCAGACTGACTGAAGGTGGGCTGAATGGAACAACTGGGAGGCGTGTCCACAGCTGGCTCCAGGTTCAGACCCAAAGAGGGCTCATCAGCGGCACCTTCACCAACTGGGGAGAGGCAACAAGTGGGGTGCCACAGAGCTCCGTCCTGGGCCCAGTGCTCCTCAACATTTTCATCAATGACTCGGTGAGGAAACGATTCCCAGATCTACAGATGGCACAGAACTGGATGGGGGAGCTAATACCCTGGAAGACAGAAAGAGACCCAGGGTCCCCTGGATGGGTTGCATCTCAGCTCGGATGGCTTCCTGGGCCAGAGTCAAAGAGGGAAAGGAGCCTAGCAAGCACAGGCAAGTTGGGTTCCTGGCTCAGCACCCCACTAGTCACAAGGCAGACCCCAAGTGGCATCGCTGTTCACGCCCCTCCATGGGAGGACTTGCCATGTATCTCCACGCTCTGCTTGCTGCTCTTTCATCTGTTACTAGTCTGCCAGCGGATCTCTCTGCTTGTTGCGTGGCTGCTAAACTTGCTCTGGCATCTCTGGTGAAGGACCTTGTCAAAAGCCTTTTGGAAAACCAGCCAGACTATGTCCATCAGGTCACCCATTCTTACATTTGTTGACACTGAAAACATTCTAAGAATTCCCGGCCTTGATGTTCTTAGCAACACACTCAATAGGCTGAGGAGCATGAAATCAGGGCTGTCTGATGGGATCAAACAAACGTCGATGCATTTGTCCATGTCAAAAAGTGTGGCTGGCCATGTCCAAAACCCATCTGAGTGAGGACTGAGGGCAAAGGAGAGGCAGGAAAACCCACCGTGAGCCTGCAAGTCGGTGCCGCGACTGGGGCCTGTTTCACAAACGATAAACATAATGGGCCGGCCAACTTGCTCTGACGTTTGCTTACCAACTTAAGTCCCAGCTGAGAAGCTCAACAGGGGGTGGGGGGGATCAGGGAGAAGAAACGGTCCCTGCCTACCATCTCCTCCTCCTCTAATTCCCACAGTGCTGGAACATTCACCTGCCACAGAGCTGTTCGCTGACCAGGCAGGGATGGCTGTCCGCCTCTGATAGAAGAGGATGTACGCCGTCTGCTTGCACACTTCGTTTTCCGGCAGCTGCTGCACGTCACTGTCGTCGAAGCAGTACCAGAGGCCGTCGACGGAGTTCTTGCAGTAGGCTGCGGGAGAGTGGCTGGGTCGGGGGCCAGCCAGGGGGGGCCATGGCTCCCCTGTGCCCACGTCTCCCCCGAGGGAGTGGGAGAGGGTGCCGGGCCGCGGGAGAGCCGAGCGGCGGCAGGCAGGACCATGCCACGAGGGAAACGGCTGCGGCTTCCGCGGCCCCCACGCCCAGCGGCTCCCGGCACTCGGAGGGCCCCCCCCCCCCGGCCATGGGGCAGTGCTGAGCAGCAGCCCAGCCCAGTCACCTGTGTAGTGCCCGCCCTGCATGGTGCCGTGGTGGTTGCACACGGCGTACAGGTCGTAGATGAAGTCCTCCGGGCCCCTCCCCAGGCCGTAGGGGCGCCTCCACGGGGACCAGTGCGATGGCAGGCTCCAGCTGCTCTGGCTGCGCTTGACGACATGTGGTGTCATGTCCAGCCCCATCAGCGGGAAGCGGACCATGTTCTGCAGCTTTGTCCTCCTGTCTCCCTCCTGTTGGGAGAAGGCGGCTGGCCCAGGCTCCACGGCATCGCCCGGACGGCGCACGCTTCCTGCAGCTGGGAGGCCGGCCCAGCTCTCCCGCCCATGCCATGCCCTGGGCCGTCTGGGCAGGGCACGAGGGCAGCCGCCGGCCCCGGGGCCTCAGGGGCTTCCGGCACCAGGGCAAGTTCCACCCGCTTTCTGGGGGAGAACACTACGGCATGGAAGCTGCTTGCGCAATGCTCCTCTGGCCACGGCTGGACCCCGGAGCACGCGCCCTCCTGCCTCCCCTCTGCCCACCTGCCGGAAACGCTTCAGGTGGATGATGAGGACATCAGGCAAGGTCCAGAGGCCGAGTGTGATGCTTCCTTGCTGCAGCTGCTTGCAGTGGGGGCAGCGCCAGGCGTCGTCCGGGGCCAGCTGCACGCAGAGGCAGGCCAGCACCCTCAGCATGCTGCCTAGGGGAGGCCAGTCCCCAAGACGCGGAGGCGGCACAGCGAGCCCGCCCCCCAGGCCATGCCGCACCCCCACAGGGCCACGCCTCCGTCGCGCCCGAGGCCACGCTGCCCAGTCCCCCGCCTCCTACGATCTCGACGCAGGAGCCGACACGGGAGGCACCTCTGTGCAGCCCCCACTGGTGTGGGCCTGGACGGCGTGGGCCTGCCCTGCTGGGAGGCCCGAGAGGAGCAGCCAGCCCCCAAGCCCCCCGGGAGCACGAGGCCCAACGTGCAGCTCCGGCAGGCCTACCTGCTCCTCCTTGGTGTACAGCTGGAAGCACTGTGAGAGGGTGCAGGACTGAGGCTGGTGGTGCAGCTCCCTCTGCTGGCGGACGCTCTCGGCGTCCGGGACGTACTCGTCCTCTGCGCTGATGAACAGGCTGCAACACGGAAGCGCGCACTCACTTCCTGCCCCAGGGCTGGTGGCTCCCGGCAGCACTCGGGGCAAGTGAGGCTGGGCAGCCCCCTCGGAGGCTGGAGGGAGCACGCCCTGGGAGATCGCCCGGCCTCCAACCCACGTCAAAGCCGGGAAGGCATGGCTCCAGCGAACCCCGTCTGCCCAGGAATCAAACGGGGGCGGCGGGGAGCCAGGCTGGACAAGGGCGCCTCGGGCCACAGCGGGACAACTGGCTGCACGCTCAGGCCGGACCGTTACTCACTACTCCCTGGTTTCCTTGTCCCACTCGACGACCAGCTTCACATGAGGGGTCCCGCCTTGGCCACATGACTTCAGGGCTCTGCAAAGGAAACACCAAGCTCGCCACACAGACCCTGGACACGGCGCAACCTGCAGGGAGAACCTCACCAGACGGAGCGGGGCCCCGAAGCTTGCTTGCCCCGTCAGGCGGTGCCACCCTAGGCCAAGTACGAAAGGCACCGGCAGCCAGTTCGAAGCAGCAGCCACCCTTATTCCCTCCCATCAGACAGGCAGCATTCCAGGCAGAGCTGGAGCGTGGCAGGGCAGCCGCCACGTCTCCTGTCCTCCCAAGAAGATGCCAGCCGCGGAGGGTCCCGGCAGCAGCCCCACTGTGCCTGGAAACCTGGAGAGGCACGCCATGAGCTCCGGCACTGGGTGCCCTGCAGAAGCGCCACACACTAACCAGCAGGTGGCGCAAGCTCCCGCTCAGCAGGCCTGAGAATCCATTCCCCGCTGTGCTCACCAACAAGCAGCCCCGCCAGTGGCAAAGGAAACCCTGCTCACCGTTCCACCATCAAGTGGCAGAGGGGCCGCTCCTCTTGAGGTAACAGGTACGTTATTCCCACCGCACTGACTACTCGCAGGCTGAATGGGCAAACCTACGTTGAATAGCAGATGAGAGGTCAACAGGGTCAGACCGAGCCCACTCTGAAAAGGCAGGGGGCGCTCTCTGCAGGAGGGGAGCAGTGGGGGGCCCCCCTGCTGGACACAGCTCCCGCCTCGCCCGCAGGCGCCACCACGAGCGCCTGGCAGTCAGCAGGAGCAAGTGCGAGCCAGAGCCTCATCTGCCAGGCAGCCTCCTTCCCCTTGGTCCTCCCCACTGCGAAAAGCAGCACTGGCCGCAGGCAGCTCCTTCAGTGACGGGGCCCTGCTTTCTCTTGCCTTCTATACTGCGGTGAGCTTGGCTCCTCCTTCGGATTTGCTCCCTGCATGTGGGGCCCACGGGGTGCAGCTCCAGGTCCCCCTACCTGAACACAGGCCGTGGGTCGCAGAAAACATTTCATCTTCTCCAAGATCTCCTTCTGCAGCAGGTCCCAAGGAATTGCCTTCTCTAAGTGCAACACGAAAGGGTGGCCAAGTCTGGAATGGGAAACGAGAGTAGCGACATAGCTGGACGCTGCTGGCACCGGGTCCATCGCAAGCCACCAAAAGGGGCTGCAGAGTCCCAGGCCCAGGAAGCCAGATCTGACGCAATGCCGGCACTGCCAAGGGGGGTGTCGGAAGGAGCAGTTTTCCAATGACTGGGCCAGGCTGGGAGTCCATCTAAAGCACAGTCCTATAAACATCTGCCCACTGGATTCAATTCTGCGTACTCCCATGAAATGAGGCACAGGATCGCAGCCTTAGCATTTTGGATCTATTTAGCCAACAAAATGACACAGTAAGGCACAATAATTTCACATGCCATATAAATGCCTCTTTGTACTAAATGTTTTTGAATTGGCAAAAACAAAACAAAAAAGTAACAGGCATTTACCTGTGGTTTAATTGTTGCATTCCAATAAAATCAAAGTTATTTTGAGATTAATTTTATTGGAATACTTCCAAAATCTTAAAACATGACATAACAACAGATATATCCCTGTATTGTTTGACTTTTACAGAAAAAAATAAAGGTAATGAAAAGTGTAAACACCCTAATTCGACACATCCAAAGAGTGCTGTCTTCATAAAGTATCCATGTGTACATACAAACATTTGCTTCCTGGGAGCATTCATTACTGCTCTGAATGCTGCCTGGCGAGGGTGCCTAGCTGTGCCGCCGAGTCTTCCGCACACGTGTGCCTTTGTCGGAACAGGCTACTCCCAGCGCACAGCAGCACTTGCTGCCGCCCCTCCAGCCGGACTTCTGCACATCTGCACAGCAGCCAAGCGCCCCCGCCCCGCCCCGCCCCCCCCGGGTGGCCTTCCCTGGAGAGGAGGGCCTGGCCGGCCCAGCATGTCTCAGCCCCCTCACTGCCCCATGGCCCCACCTGCGGAAGGGCTGTAAGAGCCAGGGCCCCAGGGGAGCCACCCGCTTGCCGTGGGCCCCAGAGCAAAGCACTGTGCTTGGACCTGACAGTGCCCAGGAGCCCAGGCCAGGGCCCCTCCGCACAGCATCTGTCCCGCTGCTTGTGGGCCTGGGCCGGCCGTCTGGGGGCGTCATTCTGGCCGCAGCCTGGCCTCCCCTTAGGACTTCTTTCCCAGGGAGATGCACACGGCCAGCTCCGAGTTTTTTTGTGGAAAGGCAGGTGCTTTTCTGTGTTAATGATTTACTTCTGGGAGCCGCATCTTGGCGGGTTGGTTAATTCTGTCCCGTTAAATTGCCTTTTTCCTGCTTGCAGACAAGGCCTATACGGTGCAATTACCCTGCAGGGCAGGAGCGGCCCCAACCACATCCACCCGAAGGCTCCCTGACCAGGCCGCCAATGGGGGCCCAGCACTGGATCCAATATTCCGGATGCAGCCTGGCAGTGCAGAACCACCCCTTCTCCAGCACCACCGTTCTCCTGCTGACGCAGCCTAAGACTGCGTTAGCCTTTTCGGCAGCTGCATCACCCGACCGGCTCAATTAGCTTGTCATCAAACAGGGCACCTGGACCCTTTTCCTTAAGGATCTTCCTTATCCTAGAAACGTGCCTTTTATTATCTTTGTCCCTAAGTGCAGGCCTTTGCATTTATCGCTGCTGCACTCCTTAGTGGCTCCAGCCTGTGAAGATGGCTTGAAAACCTGCTTCTGTCTTCCACTGGATTAGTGTCCCACCCAAGTTTGAGTCATCTGCAGATCTGACAGCATCCTTGCTACTCCCTCCTCCAAGTTAGTTCCAAAAATCTTTATGAATGAGACCCCACAGCTATGCTCCTTGGATAAGGCAGCTCATTCCCCTTCCCTCCTCCACAGAAGATTGGAAATAGATCCAGGATAAGCCAGACTCTGTCTCTCTTACACACGTACTCCAAATTGAAAGGCAGCCTGACTTATTTCACTTAAACCAAGTCCAAGCATGATACAGGATTCCTCCCGCCCACCCATGTGTTCCCAAACCCCTCCCACAGTGCCTTGCAACTGCAGCGGAAGCTGCCCCTGCCCTGCCCTGCCCTGCCCTGCAGGAGAAGCCTATTTTCTGGCCAGGGCAGCCTCAAGGGCCAATGCAGAAGCATGGGAGACATCAACAAGACGCTGGAAGCGAGGAAGCCAGCAACTCTGCCTCAGACTGAGCCCAGAACCAGGAAGGGGCCTGGGTGGAATGCCAGGCTCGACTCGTAGCCAAGCCAGCAGAATTCAGATTTTGATCCCCAGAAGTACAGGGCTCAGCCACGGCCACTTGAAGCGTACAAGCCATGGATGCGGCTCGGGCTTGTCATCTGCAAAGATGTTTCTGAGTGTATCCCTAATTCGGTGGCTCATCAGTTAAGGCTACTTCACCTGAATAACCCCAGGATGTCTTCTGCTGTTCTTACTGTTTTAAAGCAAAAGGAGAACAAGCATAAAAGGACTCAGTGCAGCATCCAAAAGCAATATTCGGGCCTGTCCGTTCCGTTGCCAGAATGGCGCCGCTGAAGGGCTCCCAAGCACAGAGGGAGGCCCCCAGCCATGCTCACCTCTTGCCCTGCTGCCCCGTGCAGGCTCGGTTGCACACCAGCACCACGATCTTGTCGCCCGCTCCTGCCGCTGCCCTGCAGGTGGCGCTCTCCAGCCTCCCCGGGGGGTGAGGAGGCGCCCTGTGGGGGTCGACCCCATACTTCAACTGATTCAGATTAGCATTTGCCAGGACCCCTAAAACGGGAAAATACCCTCATTGCCACTCCTTCCAAAGACCCCCGAAGCAGCACGCTGATGCAGCCCACCCGGCCCCCGAGAGAGGCAGTCCCACCAGCTCAGCAGGCGCCAAAATAGGTCTTTGGGGGTGGGTTTCTGCTATATGCTGGGCAGAAAGGGACCGAGTAACCCTGGGAGAGGGGTGGCCAGGGGAGGAAAGCGCAGAAAGCCACACGATTCTTCCCCTTTTCCTGCCCCCCACCCCCGCCAGCTGGGCCCTGGGAAAGAGAAGGCTGGAGGCAGAGGAAGAAAAGCTGGCACAACAGGACACGCTGCCCCAGACCACCGAAATCAGGTCCACCCAACTCACCCCGCTGGCTCAAGCTCCCCTCAGGCCAGAAGACGTCCGGCGTCTCGAAGGCAAAGATGGAGTCACTCTCTTGCACTGTGTCGAGGTCATCCAAGTCAGAGAAAGAGCGGTGGAACCCGTCATAGTACATCTCTGTGAGCACAATCTGAGGAAGGCCGGAGTGTCACGGCGCCCACACAGCCTCATGCCGGCCCGGCCGGCCCGGCGCAGGCCACACCTTGGTCACATGCAGCCCCACCAGCCCCGGGGCAAAGGGCCAGGACAGCAGGGAGAAGCTGGGAGAGGCAACGGTCAGGCCTGGCTCCCACACACCCCACCTGTGGCGGGGGCCCTGCTCAGCAGCTCGGATTTGGCCCTCTCTCTGCAGAGCCCTCTGCCGTCTGGCTTTGCTGCCTGTTCTTTGGGCCAGCAGGGCCTCCCGGTGGGCTCAGCTTGCCCCCCTGGGGCGCCTGCAGTCACGAACTCACCAGCCCCAGCCCAGCAGAAAGCTGGAGGCAGGGAGGCCAGCCTCGGTTGCTCTCTCCGGGGTCTCTGCCGGTCGGCTCAGGAGACCCGCCCAGGCCCCCAGTGCGGTGGGAGAGAGCCAGGGAGCAAGAATGTTCTCCAGCCCACATCCTCCATCACCCTGCACGATGCTGCACTCCTCTTTCACGGCCCTCCGTGCTTGCGTTTTTCTAAAAGAAGCCGCTCCAAATGCTGCAACCCTTCCTTGCAGGAAGTCGCTTTGCCCCCTTGATCACCTTGGCTGCCCCCTTTAGCTCTATAAAATCTGGCCTTGAGATGCAGTGACCACAGTACGGTCACCCTGCAGATTTCCTTATGAACATTAAGATGTTGGCCGTTTCCTCTCCTCTCCTTCCTCATAGTCTCTGGCATGAAGTTTGCCTTTGTCAGAGCTGCCACAGGCTTAGATGTGGAGACCTCCCCATGGAAAGGACAGGCTCTCCCGGAAAATTAGGTTCCAAGAAGCCTCGCAACGGGCTCTGTCCGAGGAGGTGGGGAAGAGGGGGCTGCCCCAGCAGGCACTCCCCCGCCCCCCGCCCCCGCCCCAGCGGTCTCCACGCACATCAGCTGCCTTTCCCAGGCCATGCAGCCCTACGTTCCCTTGCTTGCGTGGCCGCCAGACAGTGTGGCAGGGCAGGCGCAGCTTGGCTGTGAGAAGCAGGATCTGCTTACCTGTTTTGTAGGAATTTTTGTTTCCCGGGCCACGGCCTCTCTCAGCCTGGCCACGGTTCCCGACAGAGGCACGGCCACCCCAATGCGCATGCAGTGCGAGCACTTCCCTCGGTACACCACCGTGACGTACAGCGGCCTGCGGAGGGACAAGTGCGCTGTTGCCAGCAGGCCCCGCCCCCTTGGTGGAGAACCAGCCCGGCGCATGCCAGCGCCACCAGTGCAGGGCCGGCTCAGCTGTCGGTCCCCGCCGGGGGCTGAGGACAGACTGTGTGCTCGGCGCAAGGGCGGAACTCCCCAGGGCCTGGCCGGCGCCTGTGCTCCTTCCCCACCTCTGCAGTGAGAACCTCCTTTCCCCAGAATCCGCCCACGGGAAGGCCGCAAGCCCCTCGGGCTCCATCCAGACAAGCCGCCGCCTGTTCCAGATTCAGCCTGACTAGGCGGGAGCACAGAAGGCGGTCGTTGCGCAGGCTCCCCCTCCTCTCCCGCCACCCTCATGGCACAGAGCCGTGCCGGCCCTGGCGGGGCCACAGGCTGCTGCCCTGGGCCCAGCAACGGTGCTCGCAACTGACACGCACGTTCCCTTGAGCCCACGTGAGACCCCAGTCCTCAGGCAGCGCCACCAGCAGAAACCCTACTAAGCAACCCTCTTTCTTTGGCCTTCCTCAGGCTCCGCCGAAAAAGGGGGGGCTTCCTGAGTCTGGCAGAACGCCCCCCCCCCCGGTCAGGCTCCCCTCTGCAAGCCAAAGGAGGTTGCTGGGGCAGAAGGCGCCCGCCCCGCCCCGCCCTCCAGTCCAGGCAGGCGTTACAGGCTTCGTCTTCATGAGTTCGTGAAGACACAGGTGGACACTGGCACAGCGGCCTCTTTCGCCCCAGGGCACACACATGTGCGCACACGTACCGTGTGTGAGGCAGGGGGATCGGCAGCGAGATGCACAGGAACGGATCAAAGGTGTTGCTCTGCTTCTGGCAATGAGGACACGTCAGGGAGGACCTGCCAAACACACACGCACGCACGACTCGCTGGGCTGGGACGGCGCCTGCAGGGCCTTCCCCACAAAGGGCCGAGGCCCCATGACCTCGTCATTAGGGCAGCCTCTTCACTCTGCCACCCGCTCCCCTCCCACAGAGCACAAGATCCAAGCGCACTCTTCACGAACCCAGCAGCCAGGCGACAGACGGCACCCTCCAAACAGGCCCATGAAGCTGTCCAGGGTCTAACCTCACACCTGGCTTTAGTGTGCGGAGGATTTTGTTTTCTATGGAGTGGCATTTAACTGTGGGGATTCCAGGTGCATTCTGAAATGGTACACCTGAGAAACGGTTCACCGCCCCACCCGCTGCTGCACAAGCCAGGCCTCGAGGCCACTCTGGAGAACAGCCCGCGGCCCGATTTCCCAACTCACAAGGCCCAGGCAGAGGGGTGAGCCAAGAGCCAAAGTAGACGTGCCCCCCAGGAGGAGGAGGAAGCCCCCAGGAGACCGCCTCCCATTGTGCTAGCAGCCCCCCCGTGGCGTGTCACCAGGGTCAGGCAAAACCGCTGTGGCCAAGGAACGCGGTACCTGTACTGGGCCTGAAAGAGCTCCTGGACAAAAGTGCTGTTTATCGAAAACGCCGACCCATCGAGCAAGACATCCTCCTCCAGCGGCGGCTGAAAGAGACTGGCACGTCAGAGGGTGGTGCTCGGTGTGTGCCCAAGAGGAGGGCCGAGCCCACGCCCGCAGAGGGGAAGCACGAAGCACGGCTGCCAGGGCCCGGGCTGCCTCCGGCCCGCTCCCCCCACGGCATGCCAAGTGCCACCCCCCGAGGGTGCCCTGGCCTCGCAGCTTGCCGCAACCCCGTGCCCGTGCGGGCGCCACCCTGGGGAGCGCTGCGCCACCTTGGCAGCTGCCACGCACCGTGCCCGACGCGGGCAGGGCGCCCCCCGGGCAGGGGGCCGCGCATACCTTCAGCAAGGGCCGGCCGTTGTTCTTCATGCTGTTGTGCAGGTCCTCGTGGACGCGGTCCAGCAGCCAGAGCAGGAACTCCTGGGCGTCGTGCTGTGAGCTGCCGCGGTACTGCGTGGCGTTCTTGGAAACGATGCTCTGCGGAAAGCGGCGGGGTCTGAGCGGGGGCCACGGGCTGGGAGACCCTGCGCCTCCTGCCAGCCCGCCTCTCTGGGGTTGGTGGCCAGGGCTGCCCTGGCCACGCAGGGGGTGGCCCCCGCTGCTGGCCGGCACCCACAGGAAGCACTGAACACCAGCTGGGCAGACACGGGCCCCACTGGGAGCACCGTGCCCAGGCAGCTTCCCCTCATCGAGCTGGCCAGGCCGGAGGAGGAGCCGCCCACAGCCCACCAACCCCCGACGAGCCGGTTGCGGGGAGGGCTGCCCCACACAGCACGCCTCCAAACTCCCCAGGCCAGGAACGCAGCCTCCGCCTCTCTGGGAGAGCTCCCAGCCCAGCATGCTTTGCTCCGCAATAACGGCTGGGCAGGCGCGGACCTGCCGCATGGCCTGGCAAGCACACACGGGCTGGTCTCTGCACAGAAGTCAAAACACCAGCGACTGCGCTCCTTTTCGTTCCCTTACAACATGTGTTGCTATCTACGGATTTCATTTCAGCAAGTGGTGCTCAAGACACAAGTGGTAACAGAACCAAATATTCAGGCAAAAGCTTGATTAAACGGATTCTGAGAACAAGTGTGCCAAGCGCATGACTACGAAGAGACAAACGGAACCCAAAACAACACAACCCTCGTCAGCAAGAAATCAGCTAATATGCCACTGGAATAAATATCTTTTTCTGCCAGACGGACAGCAGAGAAAGGGCTGACGCTGACCCAACCTTCCTCAGCAACAATTCTGGAGCCACTGAAAAAGTCCCTTCTCGCACCCGCACAAGTGTGCCTCAGAAGGGGAGCAAGATCAGTTGCACCAAAAGCCCCCCTGGTCCAGCCGAATGAAAAGGGCATCGCCCCCACCCAGCCCCCACTCACTGCCGTGGCAGCACAAGTGGCCTCTGGCCCAGAACCAAGCCTGAGCCAGGCTGGGCCTTCACAGAAGGTGGGGAGCCGTTGGCGAGGGTGCTCAAGGAAGGGCCAGAGAGCCACATGTCGGGGCTGCCTGAGCAGAGCCAACTAAGCCAGGGCCAGAGCAGGTGGCCTGGGCTGCCCCTTCTGGCTCACTGCGCTTCAGTGTTTCTGCTGACAGGGGCTAAGAGGATCCGTCTCCCCAGGCACACCTGCCTCCCGCAACACACCGAGGGCCACCTGAGCATATCGAAAGACTTCCAGTGAAGCCCCAGAGGGCCGCCTTCACCTGTTCAACGGCAACACCCCCCCCCCCCCGCGGGCTGCTTGTGAAACACACGTCGCATCTGGCAGGACGGGGCAGCAGCTTCTCCGTCCTGTTACAGGCCGTGCAGGAGGGGAGGGCTTCTGCGCGTGCCCGTAACAGTGACTGGAGCTGGCCTGCGAAAGGAAAAGAGCTGGAGCCGGGCCTGCCCGCCTCAGGGAGCAGCGGTAGCGCCCACCAGCAGGAGCCACAGGAGGGCGCTACCAGCTGCGGCTTCTCAGCAAGCCTGATTGATTGATTGATTGATTGATTTCACCTCCTCAGCGCCGCCCTCAGGATCCCAGGGGGTTTGGAAGAGGGCTGGTCACACGTCCCAAGGGGCCCCTTGATTTGCACTAGAGAGCCGCAACCGTCCGTGCGTGGGAATGAGCCAGGTTGCCGCTCTGCCTGAGCTGTCCAGCTTAGAGCCATTTTGAAAGGGAGAGCGAAAAGGAGGCAAACATTTCTGTTAGGCAGGAAAGGGCGCAGGTCTAGAGTGCCCATGTCCCCGTGCACCGTCCTGGCTGGAAAGCCCTTCCAGACCCTCTTCAAAAATGCAGGTCCGTGCCTGGCACATGGGGAACTCCATGATCTTTCAGGTCCACCAGACAACAGCTCAGCCCAGCATGAGCTGAGCAAACACAACTACAGGCGGCGGTTGCCATGGTGCCCCGCAGGCTGAAGCTGAAGCCCACCCGACAAGCCCACCCCTCTGGCCCATCACCCCTTCTCTGGCCTGCCTTGGATCCCCGTGTGGTGCTCCCCAGGGGGCCGCTTGCCCTTCCTCTGGTCCCACTCCTTCTCCCTCGCCCACCCACCAGTGAGTGGTTTCCTAGCATTTGCATGTCCTGGAACCCCCCCCCTTCTGACAAGTTGGTCCGCAAGGGGCACTGCTGGGGGCCTGGGGGTCACGTGCTTCTCCAGAAGAAAGGGCAGCACAACGCAGGCCTGTGGCCAGAGGAGCCGGCCCACGGCTGCACCTGGCAATGCGCTCCGTGCCTCCTTGGGAGCTGCACACTGTCCACCCGTTTTGTGCTGTGAGCTGGATTTTACAGCCATTGTGATCCCACTATTTACTATGAGTTTCTAGAATTCAATGACTGGTCGCCTGTGGCAATCATATTTATAAACCCCTGGAGATAAACATCAACAGCTGCCAAGATTAAAACCACTCCACAGCTCAGCCCGCTGACCCACTTTCGGCCAAACTATCCAGCAGTGGGTAACAACACACAAGCCCGAGACAAGGCAAAGCAGGGTTCCCTCGCTCTCTGCCTCACCGCTGGAGCATCCATAAGACCAGGGCTCCGCAAACGTTTTCACCAGGGGGCCAGTGCTGGACGCAGGCTGGAAAGGGGGTGCCAGCGGTGCGCAGGGGCCAGTGCAGGGGCGTGCGTGCAGGCAGAGGCAGGGCTGGCAAGCCGCGAGGCAGCTCGCTTGGAGATCATTTTCTCCGTGTGAGCAAAGCCCTGCCTCCCCGCAAGTGGGCTGAGGTGGGCGGCAGCTGCACGCGCGTGGGTGCAGGTGTGTGCACAGCAGGTCCAAATGGGCATGGGGGGCCGGATCTGGCCCCCGGGCCGGAGTTTGAGGACCCATGCTTAAGAGCTCCACCGTATTTTCTAAGGCATACTGGCTTTAATGCATCCAATTCCGAAGTTTCAGAATGTGGCAAGCATAATTTTCAATCCACGTTTCACAATTTTCATAATTTCCAATCCACTCTACCAGCACAAAGCATCTCCTCTCTGTCTTTGCACACAAGACCTTTGCCAGAGAAACACAAACTCTGAGCCCAAAAGACCGGATGAAGCTGTTTTCATGAAATGGAAGTTGAACTTAATGCCCATGTCTGATGCCTCATTTTGATGAGACTGTCAGTATGGGCTTAGCATGCTTACGATTAAATACCTTTAATTTTATGAAAATTCTTCAATACAACCAGAAACCAAGCAACAGAAAATGCCAACAAAAGAACAAAATATTGAGCCCTCTCTCCCCTGCCGCCGCCCCCCAGTGTGCCCCCTGTGATCAAGATGCCAACCAAGGAAGAGGTGGTGATGCTCAGCCAGCCCCCAGACTGGTCCGTGGGGAGCAAGATGCGGCCCCTCTGACCAGCAGGAAATCTCCCACAGACCAGCACCAGTCCCCAGACCAGTGGCTGAAAACCACTAGGCTAGATTCTGTGATGGTCCCTGGCGCCATGAAGCGTAATGTTAAGAACTTTCCAGCAGGAACAGCCTCAGAGTTGGACCCCTGTTTTTCCCATTACAAACACCAGTGCAGGCAGCTCCACTCACGTTGGGGGAATGTGCAAATAGGAGAGCCTAAAATGGACTATGAATAAAAACAAGAGTCAGGCCCTGAATGCTGAGGGAAATAAGTCAGTGTGGAAGCTGGTTGTTGCGAACCACCCAGGGAGCATCGTCAACCACCATTTATTGGACAATTCCATTGCTTCATAGGACGAACTAGTTGTGATACCCCGAAAGCTCCTGTTGAAGGAAACGGGGCAGCAGAAGAATGCGGGTGTTGGATTAAATTTTTGGTATGACGAGGGATGTACCCTGGCTAAGGAGACGGGCAAGTGCCCATGTGTTGCCTTCGGCTAAAAAAGAGCATGTAGCCCTGATTCCAATAGAAGAAAGAGCTAGAAAAGGGAAACTGGTCTCAGTTGACAGAGGACAATCCGAGTTTCTGGTTTATAGGGAATGAGTGGAATTTGTGATTGCCACCGACCAGCAACTGCCTGGGGGAGCCCTTCCTGCACTATTTTTAAAAAGGCATATTATTAGACTAGGAAGCTGTAGGTGATGGAAAGCTGTGACACAGCAGTGACAAATCTTATTTAAAAATCTGAAAAAGGGTAAGACCCCCCTGGCAAAAAGAAACTAGTGGCGGGGAACACCTTTGGCATCTTTATTTTCCCAAGTAATTCCAGCAAGCTGTATGGAAGCAATTGTTGCTCCAGCCTCGAAGAAAAGCGGCGGGGCAGTCCCAGCCAGCTGCCGCCCCACAACCCTTCTATCTGCAAGAGGGAGCTCCATGCAACGCACTTGAAACTCATACCGATGGCCAGGGTGGAAGAAAACGCTCCCAGAGCAGAACCGGTGGGGTTTCAAAAGGGTCGCTCAACACCAGGCTGTGAGGTCGTTCTCGACCGTTCGACAGAGGAATATTCGCAGCAGTGAGAAGAAACGGAAAACCGCTTGCTGTGTCTGTGGCTCTTCCATCAGCGTTCGATTCTGTCCTGTGAGCTGAACTCTGCCTACAGCCACGGCTGCTCAAGTGAGGAGTCTCGGGCCTTCCCATGGCGCCTCCTGGCAGGCTGAGAGGGAAGGAGGTGGCAATCGCCTTCCAGGCACACGCGTGCACACATGGATCGCTTGCTGCTATCAGCCAGGGCTCATGGTTTGTGGGAAGGCACTTTTCTAACAATATGAGGGCCCGCTCTTTGAGCCTGTTACTTATTTTGCTGCCTGGCCGGACAAATGCACTTTATGTTTCACATCTTCTAGCTGGCAGAAATAAGATTGCAACAGAAGAAACCACAAAATATTCTGCTGTACCTATTGAGGCGAGATCACAACTAAGCACTGTTCCTAAATGTTACTGAGGGGCAGCACAGGCACTGGCTCTTGAATACAGAAAGAGGCAAACTGGTGGGGGGGGGGATTTGACTGTGCACCGTACGACCCGTCGCTGGTGGGTGCTTACACCAGCTTACAGAATCTTCCATCTTCGTTCCTTCCCATCAACAGGTTCTTAA